AAAACATTTCTTCGACTCCCTCAGTGATTATTCTACAGAGCAATTCACAGCAGGTTAAATACATCATACTTGGTCAAACGAACTTTCCTAAGGTAAGTGACACAGAAAATTTAGATTTAATGCCCTAGAGAATCCAGGATAATTATTCTGAAAAACCACTGTACTGTGGGTGTCTATTAAAGACAGGATGTCTGCTTTCAGTGCTTCCAAGATGAGTTTGAACTTCATCAGCAGCATCAATGTAAAATAAACACAGCAGGGTGTGTGTGTGTGTGTGTGTGTGTGTGTGGTGCAGAAAAGAACAAACCACTCCTTGTGCAACTAGGACAGCATCTACAGAAATGCAGACATGGAGTACAACTTGAACTGAAAATCCCACTTCTGATGAGCAGAATTGGCCCAAGGTGTTTCATTCCTAAGCTCTCCAAGGTGCTAATTTTCTAATTATACACACATGGGCTCCCTAATTATATGCACTGAGACAAGAACATCCTGATGGAAAGAGACCCAAACCCATCTTCCTTAACCCATAAAATTTTACAATTATCTCGTAAAAATTAAACAGACCTTTCCTCTGGGGTACCATCATTTCGATGCAGGACCACAGTGTGGAAACAGACACTACCCAATTTCCCAGACCTTTGTCCACAGCCAAGATGAAGATTTTTCTCAGTTGCCCAGCTTTCATAGCCACATGTGCCTCCAACCAACCCCTCCTTTAAAGATGTTCTTCAGTCTTCCAGAACTTTAACTGAAGGCATCTGGCATGCACCAAGATTTCTTTTAACCTGCCAGATCTCCGTGCTGTAGCTTCGGATTTATGCCGACCCCTCTGTGCATCTCCAGCATAGATCTGTCTCTATGACCCCAGATCCCTGCCCACAGAGAGAAGGGTCCGGCATGACTCATAATCCAGAGAAACTCTGGAACCAAATTTCAGAACAGCCACTAATTCAACCCAAGTTATTAGGAGTGCAGTCCGGCATCACGAAATGACTTCTCCCATCTCTTGGTGGCCTGCTTCTGTCAACAGAGTAAAGTCAAGCCAGGATAAAATACCACTGCCCACTGATTCTCCTGTTGGCAGGCAAAGTAGCCACAAGCCATGTGGGTGGCCAATTTTGTCACTGAAACAGGTTTGCCTCTTAGTAAGTACAAAGTCCGTAAGTTCAGCGAGGGCCACAGCATCCATAGGTGACTGAACCTCAGCCTATCCGTCTAGTTGCCAGCTGTACTAGCTCTCATTTAAGGCGCGTTTTCTGCTACCACACACAGGGCAGGCCCTTTACATATCCTCTCATTGCTGAGCTGTGAGGCAGTCTGCTGTCTCTGCATAGGATTCCCAGTACAAGGTGGCAGGGGTTAGGGGGAAGTACGCTGCTGCTTCTTAACGAAAGAACGTTCTTTCCTGCTCTAGGCATTGGCTCCTGACACTTGATTTGCATTTAGTTGAGTTTGATCCTGGATCCTCACAAACCTCTTGATAAACCCAAACTCACTCCAAAATGCCCATGGCTTTCACATCAATGGATTTGAGGAAGGCTCAATACGAGGTCCAGATGCTTCATTTCTTTCCAGACTGAACTGGCCTATGTAGTGAACTCAGCAGCAAGAGGACGATTTTGACTCTCTAAGATAAGGAGACATAGTGCGATCTATAACAAAAGTCATTGTCTATACCCAAGATCTCCAGCAGTCCCTCTCTAGCCTTTCTTCCCATATGTCCTTGTAGCTCATGCCATGCCTCTGGCCCTACCAATAACATAGCCACAGTTGAAGGTTCATAGTCCCTAATGGGATCAGAACTATGCAAACTTCTCTTGATGTGACTTAGCCCTATCCATGACTGATTGCCTTCAAAGGTCAAGTGTCACTCTAAGCCTCATGGTCTTAAGGCATGCACAACCAAGTCCAGGGTTCATCCTGACTTGCAAATCTATCTCAAACGAGACACACCACAGAACAGAAGCAGAAAGATCATGAGGACCAGACGGTCTCTCATCCATATTTATTGAACTGCCCAGGACTCCAGCATTTCATGATGGACAACTGCTTCCTGCCTGGGTCACAACTGCTTAGGATGCATCTCCTTCTCATCACTCAAACTACACAGGCACGTTGCTCAACAGGTAGTAATGGTTGCCTGGAAAAGAAAAATACCACTTCCCAGTTGCATCCTAAGCACACTCAAATCCTATTGACTCTGTCTGGAGAACCCAGATGGATCCAAGTCTGGCTTGTTTTGCCATGAACCAATTCTCTAGAACTTAAGAGGTGTTGTCAAGATGCCACCCCAAATGGCTCTACCTGTGATCTTATAGCTAGCCACTAAGATTAATTCCCTTAGGTGAGGGCAGGGGATACTGATATAAAATGTTCCATCTTGGAAGAAGGATGGTCCTTGGCTCAGTTCAATGATCTTATTCCTAAAGGATCTAGGATGGTAAATAGTTCAAATTTGGGAGTCTCCCATGAGAACTCCCTCTTCTCTATTTGCTACCAGTACTTACATACATTGCTCATTTGCTTCTTATGCCAGTTAGATTTTTGTCAACTTGACACAAGCTAGAGTCGTCAGAGAAGAGACTCAGTTAAGGAAACATCTCCATCAGGTTGGCCTCTAGGCAAGGCTGTGTGGCATTTTCTAGATGAATGACTGAGGTAGGAGGACCCAATCCCCTGAGGACAGATGGTTCTGTGCTGTATTCAAAAATCAGGGCAAGCAGGCCACGAGGAGCAAGCCAGTAAGCAGCACTTCTTTGTGGCTACTCCTTCAGGTCCTGTCTCCAGGTTCCTGCCTTAGCATCCCTCAGCTATGGATTAGAACTTGTGAAGCCAGAATGAACACTTTCCTCCCCTCAGCAGACAGAAAACAAACTAGGACCCTTCTCATCACAGTGCAAAAAATGTCGTGAAGAAATGAGACACAAAGAATTCAAGTGACGTGTAAAGGTCACTAAACATGTGATATAAATTGAAACTTAACAGTCATCTTCCCGGGCTGGAGAGAAGGCTCAGAGGTTGGAAGCGCTGGCTGCTCTTCCAGAGGTCCTGAGTTCAAGTCTCAGCAACCACATATATGGTGGCTCACAGTCACCTAGAATGAGATCTGGTGCCCTCTTCTGGCACGTAGGCATGCATGCAGGCAAAACACTCTACATAATAAATAAACCTTTTTATTTTTTTAAAAAAAAATCATCTTTCCATAAGCTGCTTTATGGAACAGAAGATTGGGTCCAAGATGTGACAGGAGATGTCAATCAAAACACTGCCTACAGTCCAGGTAATATCAGAGCCGACCACTGCTATACTCCAGAGCTCTTTACAAAAGGCTGAAATTGCTGCGGAAAAGAAATTCCCAGATTAACAGCAGGCTGCTTTGAAAGCATTTTTAAGATAGGATTGCCATCTAGTGGTCAGAAAGTTATCATTTCCCCCTCCAAGCAGATAAAGCAGAAAACAGGTAAAGAAGGGAAAGTTTGGGAAAGCCAGCAGGAAATGTTTCCTTTTCTCTCACACTGCAGAGGCAGAAGAGGGTCAGGTCTCACCGCCACGACCATCAGAAGATCTTGAAGCTTTGCTATGGCTGCGTGTGGGAGCAAGGTAGGTTTGGTGCCCAATTTTGCTTACTAGTGTTCGTATCCATCACTTTTTTCCCCCATTGCTATGATAAAATATCTGACAGAAACAATGTAAGGAGGGGAGGCTTTGTTTGAGGTCACTCCCTAAACAGGGTTACATTCCATTACAGTGGCAGCAGAAGGTGGTTGGTCATGCTGTATCCACAACCAGGAAACAAAATGGTGAATGCTGGTGTCTTCCCTCTCCCTCTCCCTCTCCCTCTCCCTCCCCCCCTCTCTCATTTGGTTTGGTTCTGTTCTTTTCTGCTCTCTTCTGTTTGAACAGGGCTTTACACTGTTGCTATACAAACCTTGACCTCACTATGCCTTCCAGGCTGGCCCTGAACTTCTGACAACCTACCTGCCTCGGCCACTGGATTACCTACATTGCAGGCAGGAGCCACTACATCCAACTTGTTTTCCCTGTTTGACTGAGTCTGGGGTCACAGATCTCCAGCCTTCTGGCCAGATCCATTCACGTCACTTAAGCTTCTGGGGAAGCATCCATATACACACACACCCAGAATGGCATTGCCCAGGTGACTCTAAATCCCATCAAGTTGAGGGTCAAGATTAATCTCAACACTGATAGACGATTATGAGCAGGTTAATTAACTTCCTCTATTGTTCTGAGAAATGGGGAAAACAACCACGTACCCGGTGAGGCAATCAAATAGAACATTTCATAGAATGTGTCTGGTATATTGTAACCACTTAAAATGGTACAAGCTCCCGTGACACAAAAACAGCTCATACAACTGGGGTAGAAGAAGCGAGGGAGGACCTGAGCAATCAATAAGTTAATAAATCTTGAAGCCTCCCCCCCACCAGGACTGTTCTGAGGGAATCAGCCTTTCTTTTCTGAATATAGTGTCATTTCCTCTTCCAATCTGTCACCCTGCTTCACTGAGTCATGTTGTCCGCACGTGAGTCTGCCCTGTCTGCTGCATTAATTTGATCCTCTGGTTCAGTATGTAGAGCTTAACACTGTTCTTCCGTTGCTTCGTCCTGGATCCTCACTATCTTCCTGCCCATGGGAAGCTATTATCTGCTCTCCTATCTGCCTACCATCTCCCAGGCAGAGGCCTTCTTTCCCCAGTGCAGGTTTTTTTTAAAGCCTCTCCCTGTAATCACCCTTATCTTTCCACTAACCATCTCTGAACAGGTGCTTGAAGGCAAACAAGCAAACTTTATCTCAAACACATTTCAGGATCCTTGTAATGCTAGTAAACAACTAGTTTGGGGAGCAAACATTACAAAACCACTCGAGATCACGTCAAAGTCAACTTTGACCTGGACTAGTTATTTAGTACTTCCCTGATAACTGTTTCACCAAAAGGTTAATATTTATCCTTGAATATCCTTTATCCCTGCACTGGGCAGTGAGCCACCATACCAGGCTCTGCATGGCTACCTCTCCATACCGCTATTCCTGGTTATTGGAAGACCTTAGGATCAGGTTTGTCTTGGGTTATTGTCTATGTGCTTGGAATCTGGGGAGAAGACAGCATAGCAGGTGAGATTCTACCTAGGGTTGGCATTTGCGGGAGGCATATTGAGAACTTGGCAATGAGCGGAACATGGAGATAGGTGGCAGGGGTCCCTTCAGGCATTGCCAGAGTAAGCTGTAGCATCAAAGAGTCTGTGGGCAGAAAAGGTTCAGTCTGGTTAATTTAAACTTGGAGATGGTAGAATGTGTATGTACCCTAGGGACAAATCAATCAAAATATGTTCACGTAAAAGGGTTCTGATAACCCATAAGGTCCTTGTCCTTAGATGTGCTTAGGACATGGAACATTGGCCACACAGTGACAAGACTAGCTTGTTTGGATTGCACTTATCTCCCAAATAAATCTACAGATCAATCTGGGAAGAACTGGAAAGAACAGGAACCAAGACAGGGTGCTATTGGCATATAGATAGCCAATAGTTGAATGGAATTGATGACTCGGGGAACAAATCAAAAGGAAAGGGGGTTTTTGTGTTCTTCTGTATTTCCCAGAATACAATCTCCCAAAGCCTTTACTGGGAACCAGTGTGTAATTCTGTATTTTACTAAATCCTTTTGCTCTCACGAGCACCCTGAGGTAGATATTGATGTCCTGATTTTATACCTCAGTAACTACCAGAACTTGTACAAATGATAGTGGCCATCACCCGAGGTCCCATTTGAGAAGCAATGGAGATTTCCCCCACATGTCCAGTAGCTTCCCCTCGGAAAGAACTCATATTAATCTCTAAACTGAGATGAAATACTGACTCCCATCTTCAACCTTGACTATAAATGTCTTGAGAGTTGAGACAGAAAAACTACAGTTTTTCAATTTAATTCCCAGTACTTAGGACAGCTCTTAGATATCTAGTTTAAAGCTTGCTGCTATTATAAAAATATGTTCTGAAACATCAGTGAAGTAACACGAAAATGTGTATGTACAAATAACACATATTTGTTCGTTTAAAATTATCTAACATACAAGGTTGCCCCTTTCCAAATAGAGATTTGGAAACCCAAATCTCTGCCTTTATCTCAAAGCTGTGGCTTTGGAAGATGGGGCCTCTTCTTGGCTGTCTAGCAGCAGAAAAGAAGTGTACTGAATCTTACCAGAGACCTAGCACAAGTCATGCCCACACCAAGCCTGTTTGGCAGAGCTAGCCATACAATCCCAACTATTCTTAAACAACTGGGAAATGTTACTAATCTAGGGAGCAATAAATGATACAGATACGCTAGTGGAATATTAGTGGATGCATTATAGGACACCCTGGGGGTGAATGTCAGATCTAAAAATAAAGTTCACTTGTACCTCGTTCATAGTCTGAAGGTCATTTTGTACATTGTGGTTTGACCTGCATGTCACTGTATGACATCGGGAATGGAACGGCATTGTGTTGGCTGTCAGTTTTAGGTTTTGGAGCATTTGGGATTTCTAACTCCTCCATCTATGATGAAGAGAAACCATTTGTGTAACTTATGTCTGTTTGCACACCCTATCCTGAGCAAATAGAGGCCAGACAGTGATCTCATGGGATCACTGAGGACACCTCTCCCAGTGGCTTGAGTTTGTAAGAATTGACCAAGTTCACCACATGCTAAACAGCAGGTGCCCTGTTTCCTCCATTTGCTGGTCCATGTGGCTTCAAGGACAAGAGGAGAAAGTCAGTTTTTGAGATCTACAATTAAACTCTTACATCATGCTGTATCGTGAGCATCAAATGCTGTGACATGCGGAAGAAGGTTTTGTAAGGTGTTGAGATGGATCTGGATGAGTGTTTTTGTTTAGTTGGTATCTTGGCAACTTGTTTGCTTATCTAGTAGCTTCTACTTCCTGGTAGAGTTGTGATGTTGCCAGTCGAAGTGAGATGCTGTGTTTGACTATGACATTTCAAATATCTAATCAGTGAGTTACATAAAGTGTACACAAAGCATATGTGTACAAACCTTCACTATAAAGCACTTTTGGCAACAGACATTTTCTGCTTTTCATAGTGATCAGCAGCCAGGAACTGAAGTAAGAACAAGATGCTAGATGTGTGGTTCTGAATGAAGTCTTTTGCTCTTTCTCTCACTTGCAAAATGGAGGATAATAATATTTTCTTTTGAGAATAGCAAAAAGTATTGAAACACCAGTGAATATTAGCTACTCACACAGTGTGCTGAGTGTCATGGAGCGCTAAGCAAACCACTGCAATGTATTGTCAACATCATCATTGTTGTTGTTGTTGTTGTTGCTATTGTAAGGAAACCATCATGATGTTCCAAACACGCACAATAAAATTCTCTCATTGCTTAACTGAATCAGGAAATCCCCTCAACATCCTAAACACGCTATCTGTGTCTCTAATACCTATAGGAAGCAAACAGTTAACAGCATACCTGGACATCAACGCTCTACTTGGGAGATATTCCTTTGGAGCTAAGAACATATTTTCCCCTAGAGAAAATGATATTAAAATAGTGATTGGATTCTAAGTGACAGAAAACACCCACTTGATTAGCAAAATTTCTGAAAATGGGCATAGTCGCAATACAAAATGCTGCAAAGCAAGGTTGTTATGTTGGTAATCATTATTCAACATGGGAAACTATAAAAATTATTTTATACATAATTTATTTTATTTCTCATGAACACCACAGAGGGAAGGAGAAGTTAACAGAAAGGTAAGTAAGGACTGCCAAGATGCTCCTGAGAGAGTGTTCTAGGGCTCTGGGTTGAGCGTGTCCCAGAGTTGTGATATGCATGCCCCTAGAGCTGCACACAAGCATGAATCAGTGAGTTCGTTGCACCAGTGCAGAGAGAATTCAGAAACACCCAGCTAGCACACTCTCCGAGGCAGCACATGGTCACAGGACAAGAAAGGAAGTGACGTGACAGAGAAGGTGTACAAGACAATGAGCGTGGTTGAGGGTCACTGGGGCGAAGGGGAGAAAGTACCGTCTTATAAAACAAATGAGCATCATGGCCTGAGAGGGTCCTGTGCCTTTAACATGAGGGCCCGGAGATTCGACCAGAACTGCTTCTATGCTCTCTGAAACCGCTGACTTAATGGATACCTCTGTATCCTCATTCTCAAACAAATGTGACATTCTGTTTCTCAAAGCCCCCCTATGCTGGAACACCCCTTCACTGTTACTACTCTGAGGGCAGACCTGTTATTTATCCAGTCCTTCTCCTGTAAGTTACTCTCCTGTTTTCTTGTTCTGAGGCTTCCCCTGCCTAGTCCCAGGACTATTATCCCTTGTGATCTTGTGACCCATGCTGTTTCCCCAAGGGATCAAGCCCTCAGTCATAGGGCCCTTGTACTGAAAGCTTGCAGAGCCCCATTCTGCTATCTTCTCCCTAAATAACTCAGCCATGAATTTATTGCTGCTCTTTTCTAAGATAACTGCTGTGGATAAAGGCTTTGAAGATCACCCTGCCTTTTGCAACATCTATCCTTGAGGTTGGGACAGAGTTTTAGCCAACCTTGGACCCTATAATCTTCCAAACTGCAGCCTTGATTTTATCTTTGACATTCTAAATCTTGGCCTAAATTCTAAATTCCAAGAGACCAGGCCAAAGGACCTTGAAGGACAGTTCCTGAATTACCAAAGAAGCCTTCAGTGAGGTAAACTGTTCCCCTCCACTCTCTCACCCCTTGTCTCTCAGTACCCTCATGATTCTAATCTTGTTCCCCACAGAGAACCCCAGAGTTTTCCATCCAAATGCAAAATCTGACACTCCGCAGTCTCTCAAGTAACAGCAACTCATAAAATCTTTATAAAATCTTCAGAGGCATTGTCTAGGATGATTGACTCAGTTCTCAGAGGCAAAAGACGCATGGTCTAGGGTATGGACTCAGCTCCCATTATCACCCTAACAAAACAAGGTCTTCCTCCTCAGGAGAGTCAGCTCAGTTGGCATCTTGGGTCAGGGATCAGAGTTTGAACATCAAACCAAGCAGCAGGTACCCTGAACATCCTTGCTCGTGGATTCCCATGTCGTCACTCATTTCTGAACTGTTTCTCTCCAATTTTCAACCCTGAAAGAGCTTGAAGAAGCTCCAGGAGATAAAGTCCCTGAAACAACTCACGTGCTGTAAGAGCTGTGTGCGAAGGCTTTCCTTGTGCCCAGCCTGCTTCTCAGGACAAGAGAGTGGAAAAGAACAGAAGCGAAGCTTGCGAATGAGGTACAGGAAATGCACATGGAGGAATCACTAGGTGACTAGAACCCTCCCTTCAGCTTCTGGTTTCAGCTCGGGTGGGAAGCAGATTGCAACATGCAGAAACATCACAAGAAGTGCCTTCTCAAGTTCGGGAAATGCTTTGGATGGCACAGTATGCCAGATCCCCTTCAACTGTAACCCTCCCATTGTTCTTTTAATAAGAATAATGAACTCGGCACTCTACCAATCTTGACATATGCCATAAAATGGAAAATGAATAATTGTATCTTTATACCTCCAACATTTTCTTAAATGTAATTTAACATGTAATTTATTTTAGACTAAATTCATATTTTAAACTACTATAATGACAATGTTGCTCTTTACTGTTGAATTGGAAGAGAGCATCTCTCTTTGGGGGACTAGCAGGAGATACAGTTCCCAAGTCATTCCCTGCACTACTGTACTGTCTAATCATCCACAAGTTTCCTATTTTCTGAGCCTCAGTCTGTCTGAATCAAAAAGAAAGAGATTAATAGCCCCTTAGCTTTGATGCTCCTGTCTCCTCAACAGAGATGCTGACAGCTCGTAGTAGGCAGAAAGATCAGAAGGGTGTGTGAAAGCAGACAGCTTCGCTGACACTGAAGGATGCTGAGACTAATATGTCATTGTCAAACAGTTTTCAAGTTCCATAATCACCGTACTATAGACAGGTAACAGAACTGCTTCTCTTGGATTATACTCCAGCTCTGTGCAGTTTCTATGCTAGATATGTTTACAAGAACACGGCCATGGGCATTTAATGTGTAAGATGCCAACCGTCAAAATCTGCTGAAATTTTACACCTCCCCCCCCATCAAAGCAGAGACATGGCTCACAGACGGATTCTAAATTGAGGTAATTTTCAGTCTACACAGTAATTCGGCGCCGTACTTTCCTAAAGCCAAGAGGTACAGTACGTAGATGAGTGGATTCACCAGGAGAATTCACAGAACTCAGCATAGAGTTGAGGATTTGGGTTGTTTTAGTGAAAAGAAGCAAAGGGAAGTTAGGACAGGGAAAGGTCTGGAAAAAAAAAATAAAACAAGTATAAAGATCCAAAAGGTGCATTGAATCCTCTAATGCCAGGATGAGATGCGCTCGGGATCAGCCTACAGGTTCGTGTTGGGAGCTGGTCATATGATCACCTTCCGTTCCAAAGTCCTAGGTTCCTAGTAGGAAAGCAGGTGTTTAGCATAAATCATTGTAAAAACAGTTCAGACACACTAAATCTCTCTTATCAGGCCTTGCTGATATAGAAGCTTCTAGCTAGCCATAAACCAAGACCTAACCTTGAAAGCAGGTCTTCTGAGCAATGGCATTCTAGGGGGCTGCTGTCTTCACTTTTCTATGCACGCAGAATTACGAACAAGAAAATGCAAGATAGTTGGGTGTTAATGAGTAATTCATCGGCCTAGGGTTTCTGGACTGTTTTTGTATGTTCGTTTGATACATCAGTGAGTGAGGTAGGTAGGGCTGAGTTAACCGTGGCTGCTGAATTTTGTCGGATTAACTCGTATTAAGTAACTTCCCACCCATCCACTGACAAGGTCAGCTATGCAAAGCTCTCTGAAGGCCAGCGCCTCTTCCTAACCCCCATCTAAAGCTTCCACGTCCCTGAGACCCTGGTCTTTGTCACAAAACTTCTCTTCAGCCCCTTAGGTAGGAATTAGGCGGTACTTTACCAGGCTTTTTCCTCACTCCAATTGCCCTCAGGCCAGTTCTGCCTCATTTCAACCCAAGCCAAGGTATTCAGCACCCCACATTTTCATCTGCCTTTTTGGTCCTTTGCCATTCTGGTTGAAGAGTGAGTTTCTGAGAAGTATACCTTTCCCCTCAGCCTATAACTTAAAAGTCCTTTGGTTTCTTCTTTTAGGCTTGGGGTAATTTTTACACTGTTGTGTCCCACACTAGGGTTGGCTAGAGCTTTAAAGTTTGCCTTTCCCCTCCTTTCCTTCTAGAATCTTCTCACATGAGAGCCCTGGATGCTGCGACCAACCCCAGAGTCTCAGCATCTAAGCAGCTATTGATCTCACTGTCCTTGATCCTATTGGAGAAGTTACTGGCGCCCCTTAAACTCTGTACTCTCCGCCCCTCCTGTGTGTTTGTATCAGAAGTACCATGTACTGTTTGCAGGGTTCAGATCATGGATGGCAATAAATGGAAACAAAATGTCTCCTTGGCAAAGAGGTAGAAGGTGGTGACACTTTGGCAACTTCCTAATCACCCAGGCAAGAAGTAACCCGAGTCAATTGTTTTCATTACGTTGTCCACACCTTGTGTAATTCAGATATCCTGGGATTCCTGGAAGTTCTCACTTGATATCAGCTCAAACGGGAGTTTTCGAACAGTGATGTGAATGCCAAACAAAAGCAAGGCCACTGAGATGTGAAGCTAATCAGGCTGTTAGGAGGCAGTTCCTGGTCAGGGCAAGTGAGGTGAAATGGGCACCTGGAGACACCAGGAGTGCGAAGAAACTTCCATTTCAGGAAGACCCCAGCTACCTGGAAGGAGATGAGGAGGCATGAGACTCTTGGAGGAGGGTGGTAATCTCTTAAGACGTGGGACAATCTTAATACAATCTCCGTGTCAGCCATGGTAGACATTTAGAATAAGGAATAACCCGGTGTTGGCAGTGGCCCTGAGAGCATAGAGGTCTTCCGGTTGGGGGGTCAGCAGTAAAGACATACAGTTAGAGAAGACCAAAATACAGATGTTACATCTAGACAGCTTCACACTCTGATCCCCCTTTAGCCTCCCTTTCATGACCAAAGTGTTCTCACTGGCTTTGTTCGGGTTTTGTCTTTTGAAGGTCCGGAAATGTCTTTCGTGTGCTTGGCAGACTTTAAGGCACACGCACGTGAGCAGCTGGCGAAGTCATCGTGGGACTTTATTGAAGGAGCAGCTGACGAGGGCATCACATGCAAGGACAACATCGCCGCATTTAGAAGGTTTTTCCTTTGCCCTTTCTGTTGTCACCCTAATGTGCTTTGCTGGAGAGCTCCTTAGATGGTGACCACTCCAGTGTCTGCCTTTAGCAACACAGCGTATACAGGAACTCGGCTGGCTTCTGTGCTGGTTTATTGTGGCGTGGGGATGAGGCATAGGGAGCGGGGGCGGGGGGAGATGTTTTGTGGAGAGAATCTGTCTTACAGCTAGGGGAAGTGAGTTATCAGTTTTCTGCATGCCAGCAGCTTTGTGACATGTCAAAATGGAGCAAGACCTGCCAGCGTGCCCAGCAGGGAAACCTACATATAGTTCCAGCACTCTCGAGCTCCTAAAACCTCCCCACCATGGAGGATGAAAATGAGAAAGATGGAAAAGGTCTCAAGTTTGGAGAAAATAAGATCAAGGGGTGTCTAGGGATGATGGAAGATTGCTTCCGGTGAGAACTGGACATGCAAACCAAGAGCAGGAACGTGTGTCAATGGACAATAGCTAAAGCCAAGTTTCCATTTGCCCTAAAACAATGTTTTAGGTGTCATTTGTGAATTAGTCTACCTTCCCTAAAGCAGTATATAAGTCAAATGAATTAGTTGTGGGGCGGCAGGGTGGGGGGATGATAACATGATTGTTTTCTAGGATTTGGATGCTTTTAATTGCCTTGTGATGCCTAAAATTCCTCCCCTCCTTTTCTTTCCCTGTCTAGTCTTTGCTGATAAAGACTAAATTAAGTATCTAAGCACTGAGTGGCAACCCAGCCACAGAAACAGGACTCTTAACAGAGCAAGACAGGCTAAGGGGGACTCTGGTTCAATGGCAGTTCAGGAGTTACCGAGTCAATGTGGGGGAAATGGTTGCTTGGCAATTAGTCTCCTCCTGAGCCTACACCGGCTTATTCAAAACCAGCCCACTGATCCCACCAAGATCTAAGCTCCAAGTCTGCTTAGGCCTGCATTGGGAATCAGGGTCCCAGCTGCAGAAAACATCAGCATGCTAGAGAATAATCCACTGCATTGTCTGGTGCAGAATCCGCCTCCGCCCCCGATACCTGAGAGATGTGTCAATGGTGGACACCAGGACCATAATCCAAGGGCAGGAGATCCAGGCTCCCATCTGCATCTCTCCCACAGCTTTTCACTCCATTGCCTGGCCAGATGGAGAGAGGAGCACAGCCAGAGGTAGGAATCATCCCATAGGAAGGCTTCCTTTCCAGGAGGCCACAGGAGGCCACAAGAGACTGGGGGGTGGGAGGACTCACCCAGAAGAAGTGTCAGGGAGCATCAAAACTTCTTACAAAAAGGCCTTAGGGGCATCAATCTTGTTGGAATTAAGTGGGAAATGTCTTTGATCCCAGCTCTTGGGAGTAAGAAACAGGAGAATCTCTGTGAGTTCAAGGCCAGCCTAGTCTACAGAGTGAGCCAAAGCTACACAAAGAAACCCTGTCTTCAAAAAAAAGGGGGGGGGTATCAAAGGGATTGCTTAAGCCATTATATAACATTGCATATAGATTGTAAAAATACATGCATTGTCATTAATTTTTGATTAGACCAAATTCTCTAGCCAGTGATATACCTTCATAGTAAGATTACCCTGCTGGGGAGACACCTGGAAATGAAGGCAGTGGGAAGTGAGAAAGAATAATTCAGTAGCCATGATGTGTATTAATACCTTTCCATTTGACAAATAAAGCCACATAGAAGAGGAGGAGTGGGGCTGAGTCTTCTTCCTCTCAGATAGGCGAGTCTTCCACTACAAAGCATGGGATTTCACAATTGAGCATCTTCCAGGTCTAAATCGCCTCCCTTCCACGAAGGGATTCCTAGGAGGTTTGCTTTTCTGCTTGAAGGGTATAACACACCAAGGGCAGCTCTGGGGGATTCATTGACTTCTCCTGCTAGAAAATTCTCATTATTATAAACAAGATTTAAAGAGCAGCCTATGCAGAAGAGAACACAACACCAGGCCTCTCCATTGACCCAAACCCTGTGAGGAAGTAGAATGAACGGGGCAGTCTCTCCACTCACAGGGAAATCTGGCCAGAGGCTAGTTCAGACAACTCTGCTTTCCAAACTGGGTCCCACCCCCTGCTTTGCAGCTGCTCAGGAAGCCAACATCTGCTACGTCACCAGCACTTATGCCAGCTGTCCCCTGGAAGACATTGTTGCAGCTGCCCCTAGAGGCCTCCGATGGTTCCAACTCTACGTACAGTCAGATTGGGAGCTCAACAAACAGCTGATTCGGAGAGCAGAAGCCCTGGGTTTCAAAGCTTTGGTGATCACTGTAGATGTACCAGTAGGCGCCAAAAGGCGACAGGACATAAGAAACCAACTCAATTTAGTGGCAAACTTAATGCGGATGGACCTCCGATCACCTGAAGAGGTGAGAAAGCCATCAGACCCGGAGGGCATTACTTCTAAGCAGTGTTTACAATAAGAAGAACCCCTTATTGTCCCTCCCTTTTCTTCCTCCTCCTTCCCTCGCTCCTTCCTTCCCTCACCATCTCTTCCTTTCTCCCTCCTGCCTTCTTTTCCATGAATATTTTCCCCTACCTGCCTTGTTATGGGGGAGCAAGAGGGGAGCAGTTAGAGACTTGGTACCTGGTTTTAGCTGCCCACAGCTTCCAGGCAGAATTGAAGACCAAATGCGCATCTCTGAAGCTGTTCAGGCTGCGATCAGAGACTTCAACTAGGCCTGATGTTGGGAGATTGGTGTGTGTGTGTGGGGGGGGGGGGTTCTTAGAGAGTTGTGCAGGAACTGGAGAGCACACTAAAGTAGTCATCTAAGATTTTCTATTTCTTGTCAGAAAGTGTTTGTTTGGCACGGAATAGACAGACAAACCGACTCTCGGGAGAGGACCCCCGCGGCACAGGTTCACAGCTAGCTTAGTCCAGACAGCTGGGACCCCAATCTGCTGCCTTGAAAACTTCCAACTCCTCCAGAAGCATTAGGGCACTGCAGCACGTGTTTTGGAAGCCTCTCAATTAAGGACGACAAGGGACACTTCCTTCGTTACGTCCTAACTATCGAAAAGGATGTCATGCCCTTGAGAGTGAAAATCAGGGCCACAGCGATAAGGGCCTTTTCAGCCTGTGGGCAGCTCTGATTCCTCTGGGTGTCCTTGGATCAAGAGACACGTCAAAACTTAAGGAAATCTGCTGCATGCCGAGAGCCAAGGCCAGATAAAAGGCAATGCCTAGTTTAAGCTTCTTATTGCTTTGGTTTTATTAGTTTTCTTAGCTCAACCATAAAATGTCAAAGTCTCTTGGCAGTGGTGGTGCACACCTTGAACCCCAGCACTCAGGAGGAGAGATGGGCAGATCTATGTAATTTTGAGGCCAGCCTGGTCTACAAAGCAAGTTCCAGGATAGCCAGAGTTGTTACGTGAGAAACCTGTCTCAAAAAAAAAAAAAGAAAAAAAAAGAAAGAAAGAAAGAAAAGAAAGAAAATCTCAAAATGACCCATACTGTTTTTCTTTCTTATCCATCTCCCATACTAAACTCCACACCCTTTTAAAGTATAGATTTGTCTTATCTGTCATTGTGTCTCCAAATCCTGGAATAATCATCAAGCAAAGACATTGATTAACGGTCAGTGAACACGTCATTGAAGCAGAATTTCTTCATACAACTTTTGTGAGAAGAAGGAGCTAGAACCAGAGCTGGGTAGCTTTGCTCAGGTCTCACAGCTTACAAATAATATTGCTCCAAGTGCACTCATCTTCTGAGTGGCTCTGGTGGTGTGATCATTTGGGACTAATATTCACCTTACTGTTCCCTACAGAGAAGTTCCACGCTTCCTGCCCCTACATCTTTGCCAAGTACATCTTTCTGCTGGAATGACCTCTCCTCGATTCAGAGTATAACTCGATTGCCCATTATCCTTAAGGGGATTTTAACGAAAGAGGATGCAGAGTTAGCAGTGAAATACAACGTCCAAGGCATCATTGTTTCCAACCACGGTGGCAGGCAGCTTGACGAGGTTCCTGCTTCAGTAAGTAGGGTGATTTCCGAGGGGTGTGTCTGAATGCTCTGTGCATGGCTACACCAAAGCCCCCTACTAAATCTGCTGCACATTGTCCCCCTTATCAGGGCTAGTACCTATACATTTGAAGGATGGTGAATAACTAATAACAGCCTAAGGTACACATGACTATTTTTGTAAATTGTATGTGTCACATACCTAAATTCTGTGACACAGCTGCAAAATAGATATATCCTAATTTTACAGTTAGGATACAGGAATTTACAGACATCAGCTAACGTGTAAAGTTCACAGTAGCGAATGAGATGTTCCAAAGGCATTGAGGCCCCTGTCATCGGCCAGCAGTGATCCGATTAAAACGGATGTTTCTTCATGGATTTTTAGAAATCTCAAGACATCCTGTCTGACACAGTGCAGGAAGGAGCAGCACCTCACGTGGACACAAAAGTGTTTTCCAACATGGATCTGAAATGTACTGATTCACTAGTGCATAGCACATGGACGAATCCTTTATGCAAATCTCTAGCAGCTTACACTGGCCCGCAAATGTGCTCGAGAGAGAGAAAATGAGAAAAGGGAAATAGGGAAGGAGTCTTTAAATGGAGAGCAGCTGTTAATTTGTCTTGGAAGATCTATTTACACTCTTTTCCCCAAAAGCACTTCTCATTCAAAAGAAAGAAAACTTTTTCCTCCCCAATTCCTTGTATCTCTTATAAAAACATCCATGAACAAAAAGAAATAATTTTTTTTAAAAAAAACACCCCTATCAAGATATCTTTCATTGCTCTCCCACTCCATCCCTCCCCCAACCAACCATCCCATTCCCACATCTTCTTATCTCCTGTCCTTTTCCTTTGCCTCCACCCCAGTCCCCAGTGTACCCAGGAGATCTCATCTCTTTCCCCCTCCCAGGACGATCAGTGTGTCCCTCTTAGGGTTTACCTTGTTATGTAGCTTCTCTGGAGCTGTGGATTGTGGTCTGGTTATCTTTTGATTTACATCTAGTATCCACTTATGAGTGAGTACATACCATATTTGTTCTTCTGGGCCTAGGTTACATCAATCATGGTGATTTTTTTTTCTAGTTCTATCCATTGCCTGAAAATTTCATATTGTCATTGTTTTTAGCAGCTGAATAATAATCCTTTGTGTAAATGTATCACATTTTCTTTATCCATTCTCTGGTTGAGGGGCATCTAGGTTGTTTTCAGGTTCTGGTTATTACGAATAATGCTGCTATGAACATAGTTGAGCAAGTGTCATTGTAATATGATTGAGCATCCTTTGGCAATATGCCCAAGTAAGGAATTTCTGGGTCTTGAGGTAGATTGATTCCCAATTTTCTGAGAAACTGCCACACTGATTTCCAAAGTGGCTGTACAAGTTTGGACTCCCACCAGCAGAGGAGGAGTGTTACCCTAACCCCACATCCTCTCCAGCATAAACTGTCCTCAGTGTTTTTGATCTTAGCCATTCTGACAAGTGTAAGACAATATCTCAGAGTCATTTTGATTTGCATTTCCCTGGTAAGGATGCTGAACAGTTTCTTAAATGTCTTTCAGCCATTTGAGATCCTTCTATGTTGGGAGCCACCTTTTTGGGGTGACTTCTGCCGTGATCCTAGCCGCAGCTGGTTGGTATGTTCCAGGGTAGGAGCTTGAGGATAAGAAATGTTAGATGAGAGGAAGGGAGATAAGAAAGAAACACAAAGGCCAGCGTCAGGAGGGTTACTCGGTGAACACTGAACTCAGGGAATACTCGCCTCATTTACCCACATGCTTGTAATACGTCACTCCAAAATGGGAGTAGGGGAGGCAACAAGCTTCATGACCATGAAGCAAGGAAAAGCCTTGAATTCACCAACCTTTGGTCCAGGTGGAGCAGATCTACTTCAACACTCAAAGTACTAATTAGCCACACCCTAGGCCCGAATCACTTGTCTGTAGCCACACCTGTTGTTAATAACGTTGAGAGAGCGAAAATCAGTTCCAATCTTTTACTTTCAGACAAGGTGGAATCAGCTCGCGGTTTTGGGTCTCCACACTTCTGCTGAGATTTCTCTGTTTCGGTCTGTACTCTGCTTTTAAATAGGATTATTTGGTATTTTGATGTCTAGTTTCTTGAGTTCTTTATGTATTTTGGAGATCAACCCTCTGTCAGGTTGAGGAGAGGATGGGGGGAGGGTGGGCTGGGGTGATGAGAGGGAGGGAGGCATTGTGGTTGGTATATAAAATTGATAAAAAAAATTAGGAAAAATAAGTAGATGCATGACCATTGATACAGTGTGAGGAAGGATAGACTGGAATTTGATTTCTTAAATTGGTGCTAGTCTGGTTTTCTCTCTGGAAAAGCAGAATTGAATCAAAATTAAAATGGCTCTAAAGTTATATGCAGAAAATAAATAAAACTAAAGAAATGTTAGTTGAAACTGTTGTAAATCTACATGAGCGTAAGGAATAGAATTTCAAATTCTACTTCAAATGGAATTTATAGTAGTTTCATCAAGTGACTTTCACTTTCTTCTCTTCATAGGCTTTGTTTCCAGTAAAATAAAAATATAAACACACAAAAAATAGAAATAATAAAATATCTAATAAAAATAGATCTTTTGCTTTAAAATATGTATACATATTAATATGTTTCATAATTTCCTTCTATTCAGTTGCCCATTGTATTCGGCATGTACTTCTATTCATGTCTCTCTTCTTTTTAATGTTGTGTCATGAATGGACAATTTATATAATCAACCCCTTATAGTTGAACATCTGCATTGATTCCAGTATTTCCTACTTTGTTTCTTTTGGTTTGGTTTGTTTGTTGTTTGACTGAGATAGGGTTGCACCATGTAGCCCATATTAGCTTTGGATTCTCTGTCTTCCCACCTCTGTTTCCTGAGTGTGGGAATTACAGGCATGCACCACTATATCTGACATCAATTTTAAAAATATTCTAAACAATACATCAAACACACTTAAAACCTGAAGTGTGTCCTTGATTAATTCTTTAGAAGATATATTCTAAGACTGGGGATCCCAAAGCTGCTCTAGCTGGACTCTGGGACTTGTGGAGCCGAGTGACTTTAGCTGCCCATCACTCCTTCCCTAGCAGGCTCTACCTATTGAGAACAGTAGGATGCCAGGCCTGTGTCGAGAAAGGCTCACACTGCTGGGCCTCTCAGTGAAGCTGATAGTCAGGAGAAGATGAAGGGAGCAGGGGACTGGAAATGGGCCCTTCACTTCCAGGATCTGGCGTGCAAATCTGGCCCAGTGGCTGAGTGAATAGAGCTTCATTGTTAATAATGGGTGGGTTTGGTGTCTGCTTTTTCCGATTTCTCCTCATATATTGACTTTCAATTAGCAAAGCGTTTGACGCAACTAAGCAAGCCAAAACCTCAGTGGAGATTGCCTTGAGATAACACTCCTCTCTTTGAGCAGTGACTCAAGCCAAGAGTGCTGAGCCAACAAGGAGATCAGATTAAGGACCAGAATGTAGCTTTGGATTTCAACCTTATCAACACTTCTGTCTCATCAATAAGCCTGAGCAAGGCCCCTCACAATTGCATCTTCAAAAGAAAATACTTCAAAGAGATGAGTAAGCCTGTTCTGTGAGTCTCTGTAGAACACACCGTCCTTGTCCCAAACATTTGAGACAAATCTCAAATGGCTGAAAGACACATAAGGAAATGCTCAACATCCTTATCCATCAGAGAAATGCAAATCAAAACACCTCTGAGGTTCCATCCTACGTCTGTCAGAATGGCCAAGATCAAAAGCATAGATGACAGCTTATGCTGGAGAAGATGTGGGGTAAAGGGAACACTTCTGCATTGCTGGTGGGAATGCAAACTGGTACAGCTGCTTTGGAAATCAGTATGGCAATTTCTCAGAAAATTAGGAAATAATCTACCTCAAACCCAGCAATACTACTGTTGGATATATACCCAAAAGATGTTCAATCATACCACAAGGACATGTGCTCAACTAAGTTCATAACAGCATTATTTGTAATACCCAGAACATGAAAACAACCTAGATGCCCCTCAACCAAAGAATGAATGAAGAAATTGTGGTACATTTACACAATGGAGTACTACATAGCAGTAAAATAATAATGGCATCTTGAGATTTTCAGGCAAATGGATGGATCTAGAAAAAACCATATTGAGTGTAGTAACCCAGACCCAGAAAGACAAATGTAATATGTATTCACTAATAAGTGACTTTTAGACATAAAGCAAAGAAGAACCAGCCTACAATTCACAACCCCAGAGAACCTAGACAACAAAGAGGACCCTAAGAGAGACATACATGGATCTAATCTACATGGGAAGTAGAAAAAGACAAGATCTCCTAAGTAAATAGGGAACCTGGCAGTCACAGGAGAGAGTAGAAGGGGAGAGGAGAGGAAGAGAGGGGAGTGGAGGAAAATGTATAGCTCAATAAAAACAATAAAGAAAAATAAACCCTTTCCTCCCCCCACCAAAAAAAAATAAAAAAGAAAACACAGTCTTTGTGCTTCCTCTTGGAATCAAGACACAGCATTTTCAGAGGAATTCAGTAAATGGCCTGTTCTAACTTATTAAAAATGGACTATTCTAAACCCTAGGCTAAAACCAATTTCTACTGTTATTATTTCATGTATTTGCTTTTTAATTTAGTTTTTACATTTATTTATTTGTTTAGTGTGTATTTGCTCATCTGTGTATATGTGTGTGTATGTGTGTATGTTCACCTGTGTCTGTGTGTGCATGCTCACCTTTGTGTATGTGTGTTTATGTGTGTATGCTCACCTGTGTGTATATGTGTATGTGTGTGTGGGCTCACCTGTGTGTATGTGTGGGTGTGTGCATGCTCACCTGTGTGTATATATGTATGTGTGTGCGTGCTCACCTGTGTCTCTGTGTGTGCACGCATGCTCATCTGTGTCTCTCTGTGTGTGTATGTGTGTGCATGCTCACCTGTGTGTATGTGTGGGTGTGTGCATGCTCACCTGTGTGTGTGTGTGTCTGTGTGTACATGCTCACCTGTGTCTATGTATGTTATGTAGCCCAGGCTGACCCTGAATTCCTGGTTCTCTTCGCCTCTGCTTCCTGAGTTCTGGGCTTCCAGGCACTATCTCTCTTGGCTTGCGCTCTACTTCTCAATTACTATCAGCTGCTCTGCTGCGGAGGTCTAGAGGAGATTTTATAAATACATTTACTTCCTTTTCTACAGCACCATAAAAATATTCCAGATCATACTTGGACATGAGTTTTCTCAAGTTATTACATAGGTCTAACATACATCCTGTGTTCCCTCCATACCAACATCAAAGTACAAAGTTCTTTCATTCATTTTTTTTAATTATGTCTCTACTCAGACTTGGGCAGTTTTTGATGGCTTCCTTTCATAGGGTCAGGGTCTGGTCATATTTATTCTTCTTAAAAAAAAATAAAAAGACTACTTGGGGTCAAAGCAGCAGAGGACATCTCTGACTTTGACATCTTAGAAACAGAGATGAGAGAAGGGATCTGAAGGACAACAGGTTCCCTAGGGCCAAGTGAATCCCATGACTGGGAAGACGACCCCCGAATATATAATCAGGAACCAAGCAAATTGTCCAACTTGGAGAGGATTGCCTGAAGTCAGAAGCAAGACTGGAGGGGAGATGAAAACGGCTGCAGGGACAGTGAGCGGGACTCTCGTCTGGTCCTCAGGAGGCTCCAGGCCTCGGGAGACTGCAAGCACAGTTGGAGAAAACAGTGAAGGACTTAGAGTTTGCTCGGATGGCCTGGTCCTCTTCTACTTTGGGAGGACATTCATCTCACGATGCCACGAGAAGCTAAGCAGAATCACCTGAACCCGTGTGTCTTTCTTTCTCAGATCGATGCCCTGACGGAAGTGGTGGCTGCTGTCAAAGGGAGAGTTGAAGTATACATGGATGGTGGGGTTCGAACCGGCAATGATGTGCTGAAGGCGTTGGCCCTTGGGGCTAAGTGCATTTTTCTCGGAAGACCAATCCTTTGGGGCCTTACCTACAAGGTAGGATTGCTAGCAAGAGATTCTGTACTTGGCATTCATTCCCACGGGTTTCTGCAACCCAACTTCCAGTGAAGACGCTTGCAAAAGAGTTTCCGGTAGCCTCCCCTTCAGGCCTCTGCAGTATTGCACAGACTTCACCATCCTTCACCCTTCCTTTCCTGCTTTGTTTTCTTTTAGTCGCTACATCATTCTGCTTTCATTGATTCTATCCTCTCTGCAACAGTACTGACCATACACACAGTTTGCCACCAACAGGCGGTCAGAATGTTCTATCAAAGCTCTGTCTCTCCCCTCCTACTTTTTAGGGTGAACATGGTGTTCGGGAAGTCTTAAATATTTTAAAAGCAGAGTTCCACACTTCCATGGCCCTTTCAGGTATGTATTCTGTTCGTTGCCCATTGCTCTCCATTCAGAGCTTCGGGTGGCTGGCTTACAGACGGAAGCTGAAATCCTTCACTCTGCTTAACCCTGCTTTGGTTCTGTAGTTGTCTTGAAGGAAGAACAGGGTAGAAATTGGTAAAAAATTGGAGGGTGCTTTCTGGGAATGGAAACACTGTGCTGGTCTGTAGGTCATGGTCAGTTGCTAAAGTAGTTCCCTCTGTGGCTGTCTAAGGCTCTCACCCCTGGTGTGAAAGTCAACCATTTCCTGACATCTTTTAGGAAAAGTATCTCTCTGTGGGTACATTTTTGTGGCACATAATGTGGAGGTGAAGGTGGCTACATCAAGTTCAGTACCACACAGCCTCTTCCTGAATTCTCTCAGGCTTGCCATCACCAAGGACTGCTTGATGCCCTTTCTCGCAGCTCCCCAAACCACCATGCTGGCCCTGCTGTCTAGATTTTTTCTCAATCCCCATGTGGAAGCCGGCTCTAGTCTTCATGGTACATATTAATTAAGATCTTCCAATAAAGAACGCTCTTTCCTTGGCAGAAACTTCCCTAGGAGGCAATTGGTATATAGGGTACTCACCCGAACTGCTACAATACCCTTGAGTCTATTCTTCCTCCCAGACTAGTACATACTGCCTAAGTATACCCACCTTTAGAACTGAGCTAAAGACCAAAGACGGCTAGTGCATGCTGTTAGGTTTTTGGTGCTAAAATAGAGATTGTGTGTGTGTGTGTGTGTGTATGTGTGTGTATGTGTATATGTGTGTGTATGTGTGTAGTCATCTTATGTTTTGATCTGGTTATGTGTAAACTGTGAGCAACTTGAGATCATTGATTCCCACTGCAACCATACAATGAGAATTCCAGTATTTATTCAATATGAATAACACTTTAGCAAGGTAAGCACAGAGATTAAAGTCTTGTAGCTGCTGCATATCCCATTCCTATGGAGAAAGAGAAATGAGGTGTGACAGAGAGAGGAACACAGATACACAGGCACACATGCATGCACACAGACACACGTGGGGGAGACAGAGACAGTGAGAGAGATCCGGAGACACACACACACACACACACACACACACACACACACACAGGGGAGAGAGGATGTGCAGGAGCAGGCGTGAAGGCAGCTGCTTCTCTCCAGCTCCTCTGTGGAACGTACATCCAGGCCATCAGATCTGCATCTAGGGACCTCTCCCCACTAAGCCCGCTCAGCTGCCTGGCAGCAGGCTCACTACGTGATTCTTTCAGGCTGCCGGTCAGTCGCCGAGATCAGTCCAGACCTGATTCACTTTTCCAGATTATAAAGAACTACTGAGTTGCCTACAAGGGGAAGACAAGACCTTGACGTGATATGCAAGGCTTTTCTTCTTCGGCCCTATCCAATCTAGGAATTTGAGCCCTGTATCCTCAAAAATATAGAGGAATGGAGAAAAGAAAACTAACAGCTCTCACCATAGTGTATGTGGATGAAGGAATAACATTTAATGTTCTGTAGGATACCTACAGTTGACAACAATTAATTGACTGTGTAAAATAGCCATGTAACAGCAAGAAAGGAGATAGTTAAGTCTAATGTGACATACCAATTATCTTCATCTGATTATTATGTACATTATACATTATTAAAATGCTATGTTGTACCATAATTGTGTGCAATTACTATGTATCAATTAAAATAACAATATATGTTCAAAAAGAAATGGGACAGGGTTATCCTGATGTCGTTTTACTCATTTCATCCTGCAAGATATATTGGGAATTTTTAAACTTTAATTCATATAGTCAAGCCTGAAACATAAAACAGCAGAGACCAAATGAATGTTTGAATTATTCAAGGTTCTGACACAGGATATTATGGAAATTTTATGAACTATTTCCTAATGTCCACTCTAGTTAGTAACTGGCCTCCAAAAAAAAAATAGCAAAAGGAAGATTTTGAAATTCATTTTTCAAGACTCTGTGACTAAATTAAAATGAACTATTACAGTCTTTCACCAATATCTTTATTCTGGCCATATTAATTTTGTCAAATGAATGTACACCTTTTCAATAAAGTGTATAGACATAAGATAATTGCAAAGATTAAAATCTGCTACCCAAACTCACACATAAGAAACCAGCCTCACCCATTTCCTGGAGGATATGGCCACGTCTAGACGGGCTTTGCTCTTCTTTAAGATGCTCTATAACCCCAGACTCCTTCGATCCTTTTTGGACCAGTGTTTTCTGTATCGCAGAACTGTGTGCCAGGCACCATATCTTTCTATATCCCCCATTTACACCCCAATAACTTTAGTTCCACCATTCTCATCATATGAGAATAAGAATGCCTCAGTACTAATCTGCCTCCATGATTGACATAGTTAACTTCAGCTGTCAACTTGACATAGACCTAAAGTCCGCTGGGAAGAGGGAATGCCAGCTGAAGGACTCCTTCAATCAGATTAGCCTGTACCCATGTTTTGGAAGGATTTTCTTAGTTACTAATTGATAAAGGGCCTGGCCTACTGTGGACAGAGCAATCCCTGGGCAGACGAGCCTGGGCTGTATTTGAAAAGCTAGCTAAGCAAGCCAGAGGGCCAAGTCAACCTTCACCCTCTAACTACCTCATAACTAAACTTGTTCGTGCACCCCTGCTGATGAATATGCTGTGAAATCTCTTCCAACTTCCCTGATAATAGCCATTCTTTCTGTAATAACTTGAAATTGGCACAACATAGATCATCTCTTCAATCTCAGATTTAGCAGTTGGAGGTTTGATTGAGTTGTTGTAGATTTGTTTGCTTCAAGGGGGAAACAGGGCCAGGCACGGTGGCATATGCCTTTAATCCCAGTCCTTGGGAAGCAGAGGCAGGCAGATTTCTGTGAGTTCAGTTCAAGGTCAGCCTGGCCAACAGAGTGAGTTCTAGGACAGTCAGGGCTACACAGAGAAACATAGTCTCAGAAAGAAAGAAAGAAAGAAAGAAAGAAAGAAAGAAAGAAAGAAAGGAAGGAAGAAAGTCCAGGGTATGAATATAATTTGACAAGCAGATAGTGGCATTATTTTGTCTAAAAATGCAAGTGCTCCCTGAACACATCCCCTTGAGTAATAGCCCTGCATTTTATGGAGCCTAGATTTAAAATAACAATGAAGCTGCTTTTTCTTCTAGGTTCCAACAGATAAATTGAGACTTCTAAAGGAAAAAAACCAAGGTAATTACATAAAGAGAATACCAACTGAGTGCCCCCCATTGCTCAGGAAATGAGCATAAGATGACACCCTGATCCAGAGGGTAATTCTTTCATTCAAGAAAGGTATAGCTACCACACTAACTAAGCCAATTAAGAGCATGAGGGTCCTTTAATTTTAGCCAGTGACCAAGAGCAGGATCATAACTCAAAGTCTCTTGGCACTAAAGCTCAGGGGCTCAGCATCTTTAAAAGCAAAATCCACAATTGCATCAATATTAGATAAGGGCCAGAGCAAACTTGCAACATTGGTTTAGTTACAACATAATGGTTATTTCAGGTATAACATAAAAATTATTTTCTATGTAAACCCTGTTTTGATTATTTTAAGCATTAATTATTTTGATTCATGCATCTGGACCATGGTTATATGTTGCTAAGGCAAACATGATTGTTCTAGGGTAGAGGGCTAAGAAGATACACAATGAAGTCACGACAAGATGGTGTTACTTTTGTCACTTTAAAAAATACATATTATATCTCAGAAAGGGACGTTTTAAAATGTAGAAGTACTCTGCATCACAATATGACCTGATATAAAGTAGACAAAAGACATGATCAGATATTTCACTAAGGGAAGTATGGAGATAGAAAATAGACACATAGAAAGATGCTCAATGTCACATGTATTTAAGGAACTACAGATTAAAGCAACAATAGGATACCACAGTATACCTACTGGAATATGGAAAAGTCAAACTGCTGTGGGACAATGGTTTCACCCTGTAAAGATTTGTTTCTTGTACTTGTTTAATAAAATGCTGATTGGCTAGTAGCCAGGCAGGAAGTATAGGCAGAGCAACCAGGCAGGAAGTAGAGGCAGAGCGACCAAGCAGGAAGTAGAGGCAGAACAACTAGAACAGGAGAATTCTGGGAAGGGGAAAGACGCAGTCTGAAGCTATCACCCAGAAACAGAGGAGACAAGATGAGACTGCCTTGCCGAAAAAGGCACCAAGCCATGTGGCTAACAGAGACAAGAATTATGGGCTAATATAAGTTATAAGAGTTAATAAGAAGCCTGAGCTAATAGGACAACCAGTTCATGTAATGTAGACCTCTATGTGTTTCTTTGGGACTGAACAACTGTGGGCTCAGGCAGGACAGAAAACCTCTGTCAACAGTCAAACCACCACTGACGCCAAATATTAGCAAGGATGTGTACTGCTGGTGAATATATAAACCAGCACAGCCACTCTGTAAAAAAAAGAGTTCACCAGTTTGCACAAAACTAAACATCTGAACGAACTGACAACTACAAGCTATGGTGTTTACCCAAAGACATTTAAATATACATCCATATTCATAGAAAACAACTGCATGAGTCTTCACAACAAGGAACTCCATTGGCAACTGCCCACACTTGGTAACTGCTATGATGTTCTTTAATAAGTTCTCTGATAAATGTTGGTACCCCAGGACATTATTCAGTTCCCAGGAAGAAAAAAAGCTACCAAACCAGGAAATGACTGGGAGAACCTTAAAGGTATGTCAGTAAGTGAAAAAAGCTGGTTATAAAAAGCTCAATATTGTAAAATTCCAAATGTGTGACACTGTGGGAAAAGCAAAACCTTGGAGACAGAGGGCCAGTGCAGACTCACTGATGTAACACGTGCATTCTTTGAGTTCAGGGTATTGACACAAGGAGGTTGGGCATTTAGAGGCTGTGCAGCTACAGGAACCCCGTACCTCCTGCCCAATTTTTCTCTGAAACTCAAATTGTTACTTAAAATAATCTACATAAATATTAATCCCCACTGGAGGAACATAGCTCAGTGGCAGAGCATTTGATTGTTGTGCATGAGGTTCTGGGTTCAATCCCAGCTGACAGTGGACACATGGGTAACATACTTGATGCACAGTGACAATACATACTAGATGTATTACGGTTCTCATGTAAAGATTTTTATGGGCAAGATGACTCTTGATCTTCTTAGAAATATTTGATTTTGTGTGTGTGTGTGTGTGTGTGTGTGTGTGTGTGTGTGTTTTGTCTCCAGATGACAGGAAGGGTGTTGGACCCCCTAGAACTGAAGTTCCAGACAGTTGTGAGCTATCATGTGGGTATTAGGGACTGAACACAAATCCTCTGCAAGAGCAATAAATGGTCTCAAACACAGAGCTACCTCTTCAGTCCTTCTTGGCTTGATCTGAACAATCTACACCTTACATTTTTGAGTGGACTCCTCGGGTCAAGTAGGTGACTATTTGAATTATTTTTGTCAGACACAGACTTGCTTCAATTACAGTTCCCACAAATCGGAAACTTGTCTCCCCATAGCTTCACCAACCCCTAATGGCTACAACTGTTTATTTGCAAAACTAGCTGTGGTTCTCGAGAACCTCGTTTGAACTAGGTTTAGTAGAGGCTTAATGTGCTTTATAACTCAAAAGAAATCCACAAGAAGGGAAGGGAAGTGACTGGGAGACATGACAGTTTACTGTCTTCTTTTCAAAAGAGTGGAATCAGAGGAATCAGAATATTGGCATATAGTGATCATACGTGTGCGTGTGTGTGTGTGTGTGTGTTTAAACTTCTCATGAAGTCAATTCAATATTATTTATAATTACTTAATAGTAAGAATATGAAAAAATGAGCTAAACTTTCAAGAATAAAGAAAAAGTTTTTACTTGTAGTATATCAACGTGAGGGACTATCACAAGATCATGTTATCAAAGAATATCAATACTACGTGAAGCCACTTTTTTGCTTTTGTTTATCTTTTCTGAGATAGGGTTGCTCTGTGTAGCCCTGGCTATCCTAGAGCTCACTTTATAGACCAGGCTGGCCTGGGACTCCCAGAGCTCCACCTGCCTTTGTCTCTAGAGGGTTGGGATTAAAGGCGTTCACCACCACCACCCAGCAAGAAACCACTTTTAAGTATATCCAGGAGCCACAAGCAAGACATAACACTCTATCTGCCATTATCTCAGTGCAACACACCCACACAAATACAAATGAACGTGTACAAGTCCACAAACTCACCCAAGAGGTGAGAAAGAGGCACACCCATGTGCGAGCAATGCTATCTTGCAATAAGACTTTGCTTTTTTACTTTTCTTCTTTGTGTTTTTTTCCTCATCTCTAAAGTATTCTCAAAAAAAAAAAAAGAAAAACGTACTGAAATATGCTACAACCTGGGTGAACCTTAAAAATTACACTAAACAAAAGAAGTTGGCAAAATAAACAAATACTGTATAAATCCCTTTAATATGATATGTCCAAACAGACAAAACCATGGAGACAACATTTGCCCGGTAGGGATGGAAATGGGGAGCAAGTAGCAGCTACTAATGGGTGTTTGCCATTTCCATGGGTGAGAAGCATCCTAATTTATGGAGCGCTGATAGTTACAACCATAGATATTAAAAAAAATAGAATTTTGTATTTTTAATTATGAGCCATTTGGTTCATAAATTA